AAAATGGCAGAGCTCACAGGTCATACCTGGAGAGTCCTATCTATGACCCAGGTAAAAATAGACATGACGGTTGCAGCTAACAAAGATGATTCACAACTTAACATTTGTTTGTTCCTAAACTTGTTTTATTTGTTGGCGATGTGTTACGCAGAGTCCCGATGGTTGCACGGTTGCTTCAGTGGCAGGAGATGAAACGCTCAGGCTCTGGAATGTTTTCGGGGATCCAAAGGCAATTACAAAAGCTGCTGCTAAACCCAATCCCAAGCCTTTTTCCCATGTGAGGCATCATATACGGTGAAGACGAGAGTTAGATTTGTACAGATACGTACACCTCCTGGTATTCAGGTACAGATAGATGATGCATGGAGGTTTGTGTATATTTTCACTGGAAGCTCGGGTGTGCTTTGACTCTTCACTTTTATATCCAAATGTAACAGAGAATGTGCTATAGCCCATAGCTATATGATGACAACTATGTTATAACAATACCATAATTGAAACCCAGAATAATCAAAGTATGAACCGCCGTTAAATTTCCTGTAATCCGAGATATTTGCAAGGGCATGTGATGGGATCAGACAAGTATTTGTCTAACGTAAAAGTGGGTCCAAACATGAAGGAATCGAGCTGTCTTTGCAACTTGTGCAAGAGACTCCCTTCCACGACTCCTGGAACAACTTGTCCAATTGGATCATGCGAGCAACGTGGTCCAAGGGAACGCTCTCACGTGAACTGCATATGCTTGGATAGCTTGCTCGAAACCTGAATTTTATCATTCTATGTAAAACCAATTATACTCCAATTATAAATAAAATAAGCAAGTAGTAGACTAAACCATGAACCCAATCTTTTTTTTTCTTTTCTGTGGGATAACATATGCATGAGCAGTTCATGAAAACTTGATAGGAACATATCACATTCAGATTTTTGTTTACAAGGAACAACTTCAACTATATGACAGCTAACTGTTGAAATAGAAAGATGAATATGTGATTGAAGGAAAATATAGATTTTGATATATTATTTTCATTAATAACGAACACAATATTATGTTAAATATTGTGTATTATATTTATTTCCATTATATCTATATTTTCTTTTTATTTCATTTGTTAATCTTCCTATAAATATGTGATTTATTTTCATTGTTACGTAACAAGAAGAAGAGATGTAGTAATAAAGTAATTTCGTTCTTTTTCATTTGTCTTTCTTTCTATTTTAATTTCTGTATTTTATATATCTACAGAAATCTCCCAGTTTGCGATAGCAATCAACTTGTTAAAACAAATGTCTTGAGTCTATGTTTTGAGATTTCCTGATATGGCTATGGAGTGCAAGAGAACGATCAGTGTCTTGAACTGCTCCTCCATTTGTTGACAAGGAAATCCGTAAAAAGGATATAATTACAAATGTTGAGTTAAAAACTTGATCCTGACACATTCAAGCCCAGTTATATACATAACGGCTGCTCACAAAACATACAAACTTCATTGTCTCAGATATTTACGGTGTATATATGAATTTGTATGTGTATATATATAAATATGTGAATATATATAATATATATGTATATATGTATATATGTGAATATATATGTGTATATATATATGTGAATATGTATATGTATGTGTATGTGTATGTATATGTGTATGTGTGTGTTGTGTATATATGTGAATGTGAATGTGAATGTGTGTATGTGTACGTGTGTATGCGTGTATATGAATGTCTGTATGTGTTTCTGTATGTGTGTGTATATGTGTGTTGTGTATGTATATGAATGTGAATGCGAATGTGAATATGTATATGTATTTGAATGTGTGTATGTGTGTATGTGAATGTGTATGTATGAATATGTATGAATGTGTGTCTATGTATGTGTGTAATGTATATGTGTAAGTGTATATATATGTATATGTAAATTTATGTGTATATATATGGGTATGAATGTGTGTATGTACATGTAAATGTATATGTATGTGTATGTGTATGAATATGTGTATATATATATATATATGTATATATGTATATGTATAATGTATGTATATGTAGATATATGTATATGCGTATGTATAATATAGTTTTTATATTTTTGTAAATTTAAAAAAATTTTGCGACGAAATAATCTGTCGCAAAATTACGACAGATTGGCGACGGACAAATTTTTGCGACAACGTTATACAGACAGAAACAATTCTGTCGCAATCTGTCGCAAATTTTTAATTGCGACATATTTGCTTGTATGTGCGACATATTTTTCTGTCGCAAATTCATATTTTTCTTGTAGTACCGGTTTAACCTAATTTACATCAGTTTTGTATAATCTGCTTGTTGCAATATATTATTTCCAATCTCTTTCAACATAAATAAATCAACTAAAACCGATATAGATTACCGAAATTCTACTCATATTAGAAAATCCAATTTTTGTTGGAAAATCAATAGATATGTCAATTCACCAGTAAAAACAAATGATCCAGATTTCTAAAATTCACACCCGTTTTCAATAATCTAACATCGGTTCTTGATTAACTTTAAGAAGTTAAGATTGCTAAAGACAATAGAATATGATTTGAGCCAAGAAATGCCCTTAATTTCTCTAAAAATTAAACTCAAGAAACCAATCCGATTTTCCAAAATTATATTGAAATTGAGATATCCAACTTCATTTCTTGGTTTAACTTAAATAGTTAGATGGTTAAGAGCAATGGAAAATCATTGAATCAAGATGTTCATTTCGATTAATCTATGAAGGTCCAAACTAAAATTATTAATCTTGTACACCAAAATTTTATATCGGTATTGAAAATCCCAAGTTAGATCATTGGTTTACATTAAGGATGCAGCATTGGTAACACCAATGTGAAACTTATTATTGGAGATTTTTTTTAGTAACCCTAAACCGGTCTTAACCAACCATAATCAAATGGTTCACATGATTTTTGAGCTTTGCAAAAGATGGGATCAATTAATAGAAACTGATGGGATCAATTAACGGAAACCGAGGTCAATGAATATCCAAACTGGTCTTAACCAACCATAATCAAGAAGTTCCTTTTAGTTTATACAGGCCCCAAGTTTTGTTGTGTGTAACAAAATTCTAAGTAATAACAAACTGGTTAATCATAATATTTACTCATTAAGACAACTTTAATTATGTTTCTTTATTTAGTTCATCAATTACCATCTAACATTTTTTTTTTGTAACAACCACCTTGTTCCACAAAAAAACAAGTTCATTTTCATTTCTTCTCCTTCAAAGCTCATAAAGACCGAACTTAACTGGACATGGAACTGATCCAGCTTCCTTGTAAGAAGGGTTCCACAATGTAGTTAAATGCCTCTTCCTTGCCCATAACCTTGAATCTAGGCCATTTAACTCTTGAAAGGTGTAACGACCCGATACCGCAACGGAATGATAGAGTTGTCCCCACACACCAACACGAGACCTTTTAGCGTGCTTTGTCCTCACTCGCACACATCCCGGAAAGTACTTCCCAGGAGGTCCCCCATCCTAAGACTACTCCAAGGCCAACACGTTTAACTTTGGAGTTATCTCGAGATGGCCAATCGAAAAGGTAGATGCATCTTGTTGCTATGAGTAACTCAATTAATTCTTTTAAGTTATCTTAGACTCTGTAGACCTACACAGCCTTCGGATCCCTCTCATTTCGGTGTTTCCGATTCATCCTTGTATCCCCTATCCAGAAGCTCGTCGCAATACTTAATAAAAGTCACGGCTTCGTCTTTCTCCTCTAGACTTCGAAATTTCAACAAAAAATCAAAATCTATCGAAATTTTTGCCCACAATCGTTTTTCTTCAAAATTTGCTAATGCATGTGTGTATATATGTGAATTTGTATGTGTATATATATAAATATGTGAATATATATATGTACATATGTATATATGTATATATGTGAATATATATGTGTATATGTGTGAATATGTATGTGTATGTGTGTGTTGTATATATATGTGAATGTGAATGTGTATGTGCATGTGTATATGTGTATGTGAATGTGTGTATGTGTGTATGTAAATGTATATGTATATGTATGTGTATAAATATGTGTATATATATGTATATATATGTATATGTGTAATGTATGTATATGTAGATATATGTTTATGCGTATGTATAATATAGTTTTTATATTTTTTAAATTACAAAAATATTTTGCGACGAAATAATCTGTCGCATAACTCCGTCGCAAAATTGCGACAAATTGGCGACCGACAAATTTTTGCGATAATGTTATACGTACAGAAACAATTATGTTGCAATCTGTTGCAAAATTTTAATTGCGACAGATTTGCTTTGTATTTGCGATAGATTTTTCTGTCGCAAATTCGTGTTTTTCTTGTAGTGCCGATTTAACCCAATTTACATCAGTTTTGTATAATCTGCTTGTTGCAATATGTTATTTCCAATTTCTTTCAACATAAATAAATCAACTAAAACCGATATAGATTACCGAAATTCTACTGATTTTAGAAATCCAATTTTTGTTGGAAAATCAATAGTAAGGTCAATTCACCAGTAAAAACAAACGATCCGGATTTCTAAAATTCACACCGGTTTTCAATAATCTAACATTGTTCTTGATTATCTTTAAGAAATTAAGATTGCTAAAGACATTAGAATATGATGTGAACCAAGAAATGCCCTTAATTTCTCTAAAAATTAAACTCAAAGAAACCAATCCGATTTTCCAAAATCATATTGGAATTGAGAGATCCAACTCCGTTTCTTGGTTTAACTTAAATATTCTAGATGGTTAACAACAATGGAAAATGATTGAATCAATATGTTCATTTTGATTAATCTATGGAGGTACAAACCAAAATTACTAATCCGGTACACCAAAATTTTATATCGGTATTGAAAAACCCAAGTTAAATCATTGGGTATGCAACATTGATAACACCAATGTGAAACCTATTATTGGAGAAATTTTTTTTAGTAACCCTAAACCGGTCTTAACCAACCATAATCAAATGGTTCACATGATTTTTGAGCTTTGTAAAAGATGGGATCAATTAAGAGAAACTGAGGTCAATGAATATCCAAACCAGTCTTAACCAACCATAATCAAGAAATTCCTTTTAATTTATAGAGGCCCCGAGTTTTGTTGTGTGTAACAAAATTCTAAGTAATAACAAACTGGTTAATCACAATATTTACTCATTAAGACAACTTTAATTATGTTTCTTTAGTTAGTTCATCAACTACCATCTACCATTTTTTATTTTTGTAATAACCACCTTGTTCCACAAAAAACAAGTTCATTTTCATTTCTTCTCCTTCAAAGCTCATAAAGACCGAACTTAACTGGACAACTCATGGAACTGACCCAACTTCCTTGTAAGAAGGGTTCCACAATGTAGTTCAATGCCTCTTCCTTGCTCATAACCTTGAATCTGAGCCTTTTAACTCTCGAAAGGTTTCTCCACTCGCTCTGTCGTTCTTGAACTCGGCGTAAA